CAAGGACCTTCAGGAATGAGCATACTGGAACACTCTAGAACTTTGTTAAAGAGAGGAATGGATTCTCCATGGGATCATGCCATTTAAAAACCTATTCCCCCGGGCTCAGTGGCTCAGCCTGTCATTCCAGGACTTTGGGAGGCCGAGGCAAGTGGATTGCCTGAGCCTGCGGATGTGGCCACTGCCCTGGGCGACAGAGTGAGACTCTAACAACAAAAAAATGAATAAATAAAAACCCATTCCACAGGCGATTTGATCTTTATAAAGCATACGTGTACTGCCCTTTTAATCTCATTTTTCTACTAAATGAATGTTCGCAGTACTTGTAATTTTTATGTTCACCAATTATCCTTAATAGTTTTACAAGTGTTAGATAGTCTATGATGTTGCTAGTTTACAAAAAAATAACTGTAACTTTTCTTGAGTTTATGAATGGAATCTTCTAAGCTGATACCGTGGCATACAAAATTACTATGTATATATCATGTAAAATTTTAAAAAATACGGGGGTTGGGGAATAACTATTTACAGTAATTAGTGATCTGAAGTATTCTTCTGAAAAAATGTTAAATAGATGAAAGGGTAGGCCGTGCTTTCAAAACAGTAATCTCGGCCCTACGCAGTGGCTCACACCTATAACCCCAGCATTTTGGGAGGCCAAGGCGAGAGGATTGCCTGAGCCCACGGGTTTCAGGCCAGCCTGGGCAACTTGGCGAGACCTCATCTCTACAACAAATCAAAAATTAGCCGGATGTGGTGGCATGTGTCTATAGTTCCAGCTACTTGAACGGCTGAGGCGGAAGGATCGCCGGAGCCCAGCAGGTCGAGGCTGTGGTGACCGGGACCGGCCACTGCCCTCCAGCCTGGGCAATAGAGCGAGACTCCAACTCAAAAAAAAAGAAAAAAAGCAAAAAAACCAGTAGTCTCTTATAATAGACCAAGCCATATTGTGTAATCACTGACCAGAAGTGTCTACTTAAATATGTGTCAGAGTTAAATATTATCCTACAGGCGATAATAAATGCAAATTTGAAGTGAACAAAGCATTACATGAATTCCCAGACTAATAACCCAACTTCATTCACTGAGGCTTCACTGAGATTCACCAAGTAATTAGTCTACTCGCCAGCATGGGTGATGTCACCAACCACATCCCCACGATGTAGACAAAAGCGATCCCTCTCCACCTGGAAGCTGTGGGTCTTTGGGGACAGCTTCAGGTCAGGCTGTCAGGAAAATCCTGTTTCCTGTGTCCTGTGCTGGTGTTCACGATGGGGCACAGTGGCTCCCGGGATACATTCTCCTGTGTCAGAGGTCAGAAACGCTGCTGCCTCTTAGAGCATAGGCCCGTGGTCAGCACACTGCCATTTCTGCCCACACTTCTTTTTTAAAAAAATTAATTTATTTGTTTATTATAAAGATGTGGGGTACAATTCAGGGTTAGGTATACAGGTTGATTTTGCAGGGACCCTCGTTGATGAGGTGTGTCCCTCCCTCCCCTGGCAGTTTCCCTCAACTGCCAATTGCTTTCTTATAGCATTATCATTGTTCAAGGTCACCTTTTGAGTGAGAACATATGGAACTCATATGTTCTTTGCTTCTGTGATAGAGCACTGAGTATGATCAACTCCAAATCCATCCAAGTTACTGCGAAGTCCATATGTTTGTCCTTCTTTATGGCCACGTACTATTCCATTGTGTATATGTACCACATTTTTTTTATCCAGTTCAGCTTCGATGGGCAACATGGTTGGTTCCATTTCTTGCTATTGTGAATAGAGCTACCACGAACATACATGTGCAGGTATCTTTTTGGTAGAATGACTTGAGTTCCTCCGGGTATATTCCCAATAGGAGGATTGCTGGGTCATACGGAAGGTCAATTTCTAGTTCTTTCAGAAATCGCCACACTGTCTTCCAGAGAGGTTGCACTCGTTTGCATTCCCACCAGCAGTGTAGAAGTGTTCCTTTTTCTCCACGTCCTCGCCAGCATCTGTTGTTTGTTTTATTAATGATGGCCATTCTTACAGGGATTAGGTAGTATCTCAATGTGGTTTTAATTTGCATTTCTCTGATGATGAGTGAGGCTGAGCACTTTTTCTTTTTCTTTTTTCTTTTTGAGTTGGAGTCTCACTCTGTCGCCCAGACTGGAGTGCAGTGGCCGCTCCCGGCCACCGCAGCCTCGACCTGCTGGGCTCTGGCGATCCTTCTGCCTCAGCCTTCCGAGTAGCCGGAATTATAGGCATGTGCTACCACGCAAGGCTGATTTTTTGATTTATTGTAGAGATGAGGTCTCGCTGCCCAGGCGGGTCTCGAACCCGCGGGCTCAGGCAATTCACTCACCTCAGCCTCCCAAAGGTGCGGGATTACAGGCCGAGCCACCCGAGCCCGGCTGCTGAGCACTTTTTCATGTGTCTGTTGGCTGCCCGTATATCTTCTTCTGAGAAGTGTCTATTCATGTCTTTTGCCCACTTTTTAAAGTGCCCACAGTTCATTGTCCAAAATGTCACATGGCCAATTCCAGCGTCAGTGAGGCGACATGAATATGGTCTTATCATGGATGTGTGGGGACAAACGTTTGCTGAACCATAACTTCCTCCAAATAACCTGTCACCTCTATTGGTTATTCAAAGTGGCATCTTTTTTTTTTTTTTTTGAGAAAGCTGGATTTACGAAGAGGACAGAAAAGTTCCCACAGTGGGAGGGGACCTGACGAGATTGCCCCAAAATGACATCTTAAAAAGCAGCAAGGCCGGGCACGGTGGCTCATGCCTATAATCCCAGCACTTTGGGAGGCCGAGGTGAGAGGACTGCCTGAGCCCTGTGGGTTCGAGACCTGCCTGGACAACTTGGTGAGACCGCATCTCTTTTTTATTAAAGATTTTTTATTTTGCTTTTAATTATTGTATTTTATAGATGTGGAGTACAATTCAGGGTTAGGTATACAAATATTCATTATGTAGGTACCCTTGTTGATGGACCTCATCTCTTTTTTTTAAAAAAAAGCAGTGGTCCCCAACCTTTTTTGACATCAGGGACTGATCTCGTGCAAGACAATTTTTCCACGATGGGAGAGAAGGGATCATTCACCATTCGATTCTCATAAGGAGTTGCCACCTAGATCCCTGGCATGTGCAGTTCACAAGAGGGTTCATGCTTCTGTGAGAATCGAATGCTGCCGCAGCTGATGTGACAACAGACGGAGCTCCCACTCACCACCTGCCGTGTAGCCTGGTTCCTCACGGGCTGTGGACCAGGCTGCTGCCTGGGGGTTGGGGATCCCTGTTCAAAAGGGTTGAAGCCCAGTGCAGTGGTCCCAGCTACTCAGGAGGCTGAAGAGGGAGGATTCCTTGAGCTCAGGAGTGAGAATTCAGTCTGGGCAACAGAGTGAGAACCCATCTCTAAAAAAAAAAGTAGGGGAGATGGTAGATTAAGAAGAGGCATATTTTTTCCTTTCGGCACGTTTGAGTTCCTTGTAGATCCTAGATGTTAGGCCTTTGTCAGAAAAGCACTTGGCAAATATATTTTCCTATTCTGTGGGATGTCTCCCTGCTCTCTTGATGGTTTCTTTGGCTTTGCAGAAGCTCATTCATTTGTTGAGGTCCCGCTTATCTATTTTATTTCTTAAGGTATGGGCCTTTAGGGTTCTGAATAGGAATTGGTCCCCAGTTCCAATTTTCATAAGGGTGTCTCCTTATGAAAGGGTGTCTCCTTGGTTTTCTAAGATTCTTATAGTTTGAGGTTTTACATTCAGGTCTTTGGTCCATTTACAGTTGATTTTTGTATACGGGGATAGGTCAGGGTCCTGTTTCAATCTTCTGCATGTGGTCAGCCAGTTTTCCCAGCACCATTTACTGAATAAGTCCTCATCAACAAGGGTATCTGCTACCTGAAATGTACCCCACATCTTTATAATAAAAATAAAAATTAAAAAAAAAAGAAGAGGCATATGGGAGGCTTGGAGATACTGTAGTGTTTTGCTTTTCATCTGGGTGACAGGTAATACAGGTGGGTTTACCTAGTGGCCGGGCAATGAGAGGATGCTCATCCATGATCTGAGCACAATTTCTGTATATCTGCAAATGTAAGAGGAAAATTATTTTCCTACACAGACACTGTGCGTGTATAATTCTCCAACTCTTTTGCCTCCAGCTGGGTGTTCTACAATTCAGCTCAGTTCTGGCACTGTCTACCTGGCGACGGTGGGGGTCCCACAGATGGAGGGCTCAGTCCCACCAGACGTCCCCCCCTTCAGATACCAGTCCCAAGTCCCAGGTGTGACCTGAACTGACCAACCGGTAAATTAGGGCTCCCATGAACCCTGATGTGGGTTCGATTTATTTGCTGAGTGGCTCACAGAACTCAAGGAAACGTGTACTTACATGTGTCCGTTTACTTTCATGGATGCAGCTCAGGGATCACCCAGTGGAGGAGAGCCCAGGGCAGGGGCGTGGGCAGGGCTTGGGCCCCTGTGCCCTCTTCAGGTGCTGGTCCTGGGCCCCTGTGCCCTCTTCAGGTGCTGGTCCTGCCAGGAAGCTCGCTCATTCATTCCGAGGTCTCTGAGACCCAGGATGCTCATGGAGGCGTCACTTTGTGTGTAGGTAAGGTTGATGTTGTCCCTGGCCATCGGTGCCTGGGTCCATCTACACCTGTCCCCTCCCTGGAGGTCAGGACTGGAGCTGCAAGTTCCAACCCCCACCTAAGGGTCTGTCCAAAACTCACTTCATTAATATAAACTCAGGTGCAGTTGAAAAAAGTGAATTGTGGCTGGGTTCGGTGGATCAACCTGTCATCCCAGCACTTTGGGAGGCCGAGGCGAGTGGATTGCCTGAGCCTGCGGGTTCGAGACCAGCCCGGGCAACTTGGTAAGACCTTGTCTCTACAAAAAAAAAAGAAAAAGAAAAAAGCGAATTGTTATGAGTTACCAAAGATGCTCTGTTCAGCTTTACTATTCCTAAGCCATTTCAGGAACTAAGGACAAAAATTTTTTTTTTTAAGGAGTGCGGAGGGGCTGCTCCCCCTTTATTAAAGAATAGCAGTTTCTCTCAAGGGAGCACAGTGCCCTCCCCATCGGGACAGCTGTCTGACCCCTGTCCATCATCCTTTCAAGTACCCTCATTAGAAGAAGAGCCCCCGCATTCGCCTGCCGATGCCTTGTCGATCGTAGAGGACATTGAACTTGTTCATGAACTGGTTCATGGTGTTGCATGTTTTGGTGAGGGTGCCGAGGTAGGCCATAAGCCCCATGTCATTGCATTGATCGTAAAAATCCGTCTTGAACTTGTCTGTGCTGAGCACTGGGAGGCAGTGGCACAGAGCATAGGCCTCCCGCAGGATCTTGTGGTTAAAGGGGACTTCTCCTGCTTCAGAGGCCTTGACATACTCCAAGATGAGCTTGACATGACTGTGCAGCATCTTGATGGCACTGTGCTGCACTATCAGGTGTTCGGCCACGGTGGAGTTCTCCCCACTGCCTGTTGCGGTCATTCGGGCCACGTGGTCTACCCCAATGCGTTCAGCTTCCTCTGTGGCCAGAGTGTAGGCCAGCTCAGCAAACAGCATTACTACAAAAGATGTCCCTTTTGCCCCATCACTCAGGGAGGTCCAGGGGTTTGGGGAGGTCTGTGACAGGAACCAGGAACAGAGTCCAAATATATATTTCTTCTTGTGTCACAATGTTATGCTTCAAATAACAGCTCACTTCTTTTAGAAAGAAAAAATACTCTAGCCAGTTGAGACATCTTCGGTATTTTATTTTAGTTTTCTGAATTTTTACTTTTTCTTGGAAGGGTCACCTTAAAACGAATGTTATGATGCTCGGATAGAAAAGACTTTTTAAAAAATTGCTGTGAGAACATGTATTTTTCCAAAGACATAATATGCATTTCTGAGATAAAATAAATATTATATGTTTATGGTTATCATAATGATTACTACTAAGAACCAGGCTAAGTTAATTAACTCAAGCTAATTCTTAAACATTTTTGAGTACAGCCAAAAATGTTTATTTGCTTTTGATATTTTATGTATTTATTTTTTTAACTTTTATTTTTTTCTTTTAAAGATGTGGGGTACAGTTCAGGGTCAGGTATACAAATGTTTATTACGCAGGTACCCTTGTTGATGAGATATGCCCCTGCTTTTGATATTTTAAAAGAAACTAGAGAAATATATTCAGATCAATACAACTTGATCATGCCAATAACAATTATAAGATTAATTAAATGATTAAAATGCCTTTATATATACCCCCAAATATCTCCAAAGTTCAAAATTATCTTTTCATAAGCGTGTTACATTTTTTGAACCAAAAATGGAGAATTAAAAAAATTAAAGCTGGGTATGCTGACACCCACCCATAATCTCAGCTACTCAGGAGGCTGAGGCAGGAGGATGGCTTGAGCCCTGGAGTTTGAGGCTACAGTGAGCTATGATTGCACCACTGCACTCCAGCCTGGGTGACAGAGCGAAATCTTGTCTCTAAAAATAAAATAAAGATAATTTTAAAAATATCTTGGCTGGGCCTGGTGGCTCACGCCTGTCATCCCAGCACTTTGGGAGGTGGAGGCAAGAGGATTGCCTGAGCTCAGGGATTCGAGACCAGTCCGAGCAACACGGTGAGAGCTCGTCTCTACAATAAATCATAAAAATTAGCCGGGCGTGGTGGTGCACGCCTGTAGTTCCAGCTACTTGGAAGGCTGAGGTGGAAGGATTCCCTGAGCCCAGCAGGTCAAGGCTGCGGTGGCCGTGAGCATGCCACTGCACTCCAGCCTGGGCGACAGAGTGAGACTCTGACTCAAAAAAATCTTTCATAATTAATACGTATCAACACATTCACGCTGGCACTAGACAAAATGTCACTCCTGTGTATTGAAATCTTCTGAATCATAAAAGATTATAAAACCTTAGTGTTGTTATTTTGGTGGTGGATTGCAATATCAAGGTAGAGGATTTTTTTCTTTTTCTTTTTTTTTGAGTCGGAGTCTCACTCTGTCGCCCAGGCTGGAATGCCGTGGAGTGCCAGGTTACTTGGTAACTTGCAGAAATTAGAAGCAGGGCTGCATCTTGGCAATTTCTCCTGAGTCTTATCCTATTTATAGCCAAGCCTCTAAAGATTTAAGAATTAAAAACAACCGAAGGACTGTTAGAATAATCTGCGGATTAGCATTTCAAATACTGCTGATAACAAGCAGCAATTTATTCTTTTTTCTTCTTCTTTGAGACAGGGTTTTGCTTTGTCACCCAGGCTGGAGTGCAATGACAGGATCATGGCTCACTACAGCCTTGACCTCCTGGGCTTATCCCGAGTAGCTGGGACTACAGGTGTGCGCCACCGTGCTTGGCCCATGACTTGATACTTTTGGACACCGTCTCTTCTAGAATTTGCTATTAAAGAATACTGGCTTTGTAAATGATTTGGGATGTGTTCACCCATTTTTATGACCTGGAATAGTTCAAGTGGCCTCAGATTTTAAAATGCAGATCTGAGAACTGACCTGTTCCTTGTGCATTTCCAGGAGTAAGTGGACCTTTAACACTATGCTGTCGTCTAAGTGTAGTGATCCAATCGAGCTACTTCTTGAATTTACTTTTTGATATTTACTTTTCATATTTACTTTTTGATATTTACTTTTTTATTTGATATTTTTGATATTTAATTTTTGATATTTACTTTTTTGATATTTACTTTTGATATTTACCTTTTTTAATTGTAGAGACGAGGTCTCGCCAAGTTGCCCAGGCTGGTTTCGAACCTGCAAGCTCAGGCAATCCACTCGCCTCAGCCTCCCGAAGTACGGGGACGACAGGCTGAGCCACCGAGCCCAGCCTTCCTTCTGAAATTCTCTTTTTCGAAATTTACCTATTTCCTTCAAGCTTTCAGATTATGGTCATATAATTGCATGTTTAAGTCTTTTTATGCCTTTCTTTGTTTGTGCTATGTCTCCTATTTCCCTTAAAAAAAATTTTCTTGCCCTTGATCAGGTTCAAGAGTTTATCTAATTTATTTATCTTTTCAAAAAATAAGCTGGGCTCGGTGGCTCAGCCTGTAATCCCGTGCCTTTGGGAGGCTGAGGTGAGTGGATTGCCTGAGCCCGCGGGTTCGAGACCCGCCTGGGCAACTTGGCGAGACCTCATCTCTACAATAAGTCAAAAATTAGCCAGGCGTGGTAGCACGCGCCTGTAATTCCGGCTACTTGGAACGATCGCCGGAGCCCGGCAGTTCGAGGCTGCGGTGGCCGGTAGCGGCCACTGCACTCCAGTCTGGGCAACGGAGTGCGACTCCAACTCAAAAAAAAAAAAATAGATGGGTGTTCATGCTTTGTTAAACTCTGGTGTGTCCACGTGGCTCTTTGAGCTATGTCTGCCATGTTTCCTAAGCTTTGGCCCCCTCCACTACCTTGGGGAGGTGAATATCCTCTCTCTAATTTACTTTCTTTAAAAAACCTCTATTTTCCAATAAAAAATTAAAAAAATATATATCTGTGATTTTTTTTTGACAGGGTAGGGCAGTGTAAAAGAGTAAAACCTAGTTCATTAATTTTAACTTTTGCTTGAATTTCCTTTTTCTAGTTTGTTGCCAAAAAAAAAGGTATTTTATTCTTCTGTTCCTAGTTTTCTAACGTGAGGTTTTAGTTTCTGTATTTTTATTTTTTGTGTGCTTAATGAAGGGTCTAAATCTATACATTTCCCCTGAGACTGGGAGTGGTTGCTCATACCTGTAATCCTAGCATTTTGGGAGGCTGAGGTGGGAGGATTGCTTAGGGCAGGAATTTAAAAGCAGCCTGGGCAGTATAGTGATACTTCATCTTTACAAAAAAACAAACAAAGATTTACCTAGGTGTGATGGCAAATACCTACAGTCCCAGCTACTCAGGAGGCTGAAATGAGACACTGAAGCCCAGGAATTTGAGGCTGCAGCGAGCTATGATTGTGCCACTGCACTCCAGCCTGGGTGAGAGCCAGACGCTGTCTCAATAAATATAAATAAATAAAAAGTTAATGAATTTAAAAAATTACTTTGGGTACAGCTTTCACTCTGTCCTACAGTTATCAGGTATAATGAAGTCACAAGTAGACAAATAAAATGGAAATTTCAAAAATAAATCTCAGTATTAATTTAATATATAACAAAGATGGGAGTTTAATAAGAAGCAAGATTTTTAATGAATGGTGCTGGCACAAATGGCCATCTGGAAGAACACAAAATTCTTAAAACTATAACACCATACCTTTTTTTTTTTAAATTGTAGAAATGAGGTCTCACCAAGTTGCCCAGGCTGGGCTCAAACCCGTGGGCTCAGGCAACCCTCTCACGCAGGCCTCCCAAAGTGCTGAGATTAGAGGCGTGAGCCACCGTGCCCAGCCTTTATCTTTGACTATACACAGAATAAATTTCATATTTTATTCCTTACATTAAAAAAAAACCATGCAAGAACTATATGCCTTAGGATATGTACTATACTAAGACAAGAAGGAGCTTTTTAACCAAGACTGAAAATGCTACACGTGTATACAAATAAAAATTTTGGTAAGAAAAATATACCCTACACAAAGACTACAGATAAACAATCCATCAGGAAAAATAAATCGTAACACAGATGGTAAAGGAATATGCAGAAATCTTAAATCTTAACGGAAAATAGATGAATCTGGTGAAAAATAGACACGATAGGCATAGCCACCCTGGAAACAAATGCTCAGATTCAAACTAATGCTCAGGAAAACGCACATTAATGTGAAAACAAAACACAGCCTTATATGTAAAAGACTCACAAAATTAGCAAGCGTATTATAATGCCTATTATTGATGGGGTTGCAGGAAAAATTGTACTTTAATGACTGTAGAAAATGTAAACTATTACAGTCTTTTAGGAAACAAGCAAGCTGACAGGCCGGGTGCAGTGGCTCACGCCTATAATTCCAGCACTTTGGGAGGCCAAGGTGAGAGGATTGCCTGAGCACAGGGGTTTTGAGACCAGCCTGGGCAACTTGGCGAGACCTCATCTCTACCAAAAAAAGGAAAGGAAGAAAACAATCTGGTAACATCTATAAAAATTGAAAATACATATGACCTTCGATCAGCAGTCCTTCGGAATCTCTTCCAGAGACATAAAACTAATACCATATAAATAGGAAAATATATTACATGCTTATGGCTGCATAAAAAAGAAACAAAGGTCAGCACTTTGGGAGGCAGACATGAGAGGACTGCCTGAGCCCAGGGATTCAAGACCAGCCTGGGCAACATGGCAGGACCTCATCTCCACAACCAATCAAAAAATTAGCTGGGTGTGGTGGTGTGGGACTGTAGCCCCAGCTTCTCAGGAGGCTGAGGTGGAAAGATGGCCTGAGCCTGCAGGTCGTGGCTGTGGTGGCCATGAGTGTACCAATGCACTAAAAAAAAAAAGTGAATGTCCACTAATAGTGTGGGAGTCACAAAAATATTCCTAAGAGTACACTTGTTCCTTCTGGCGCCAGTGTCCTTTTTCAGGCCAGTGCTGTGCGGAAGCGATAAGACACTTCTGGGTACCAGCTCTGAGAATGGTGGCTGAGCACAGGGG